AAAAAAAGAAACTCGAAACACAATATATATCACTAAAATAATCAAGTCACGGTATCAAAAATAAAACCCATGTCATGTCACTACACAATAATAACAGTTTACATGTTCTGACGTAGTAAAAATAATTCACTATTATGAACACACCCTGTGGACTTGGAACATCATTAAGGTTAATTTAGTGGTGATGACGTATGAACACTGACTGTGGTATGATTACGCTTATGGCATGTCGTAATCATTGTGCCATTTAGGTTTCCTTGTTTTATTCGCTCTGAGCGTCGGGGTGTAGTAGGTGAAGGGGGAGGTTCGGTCTGAACACTACTTGGTAGTGGTGGGGAACTTGGGTCTTCCTGTGGGTGGGGGTCCGTTGGGTGGTTGGACTTTTCGGACATGCCCGAAGTAGGGACCTGATGGGTAGTTGGTGTTTGTGTAGGCTCAGTGACACCAGGTGAGCTTGGGGTAAGTTGGGTGGCTGTGGTAGAGGGCATCCCATGAATATGGGCCGGATGAATGAATGTCTGCAATGGAATGCCCTTGTCTGGGAGTAAGTGGCGTGAACTCTGGGGTAAATAGGAATAAACTTTCTAAGGAATTGTCGGTTCCTCAATGTGACGCGACCTGACCCGTCTACTTCTAATGACATATTGATCGAATTGCTTCACCTCAATTATCGTACCTGTCTTATCCCACTTAAGAGGATGGGGCCCAACCTGATTCTGGATGCGGACATGGTCCCCAATGCGGAGTGCGGGGAGTCTCTTAGTATGTAGCCTCAATCATTTCATATGACAACATATGTCGTTTCCTAAGAGCGGCCTCACGTAAATCAAGGTCTCACGCCATGTAGTGTGGGGGAGGAAACGACCCGGTGGGATGGGTATGAAATCGCGAATGGGTCTCCCGAACACGCACATTGCCGGTGAAAGTTTTGTGTCCCTGTCGGGTGTATTGCGATACTGTAGCATTGCACGCTGAAAGCGGTCCGTATCTAGATTACCGTCGGCATTAGTGTTTGCCATAAGTAAAACGCTTTACAGTCTTCACGCCTAATTTCAGCTCGACAATTGCTATGAGGGAATGCTACCGAGGAGATACGGTGATGCACTCCCCCACTGCTGTAAGAAATTACGTGTGTGACGATGCCTGTAAATTCGGGACCGCCATCCGAAGACAGCTCTTCTGGAATCCCAAAGGTAATGAATGTACGCCGTAGTGTATCAACCAAGCCTTGGCAACCTGATGATGCCCTTTCTACAGTTTGGCCAGCCAGAGTAACGGTCTACTATGAACTAAGTAGTAGTGCCCCTTGAAATTGAAAGAAATTCAGCGCATAAGCACTGGAATGGGTATTCTGGGTTAGGTCAGGGGCGTAGGGGGCGCCCGAGGGTTAGAGGGTGCGCTGCGGTTACAATGTTGGCAAGATGCTCGCAAGGAGGTGATGTCTGGTGTTATTCCAGGCCAGAAAACTGACGACTCAGCGCGTGCAGTCATTTGCAGTTACTCCTTGGTGAGCTGAGTGGAGTGAATTGAGGACTTCCGGTCTGAGGACGGGGTGGGATGATGATGCGGTCCTTATATAAGATAACACCATCAATTGTGTGAAGGTTGTCTCTGAACTGATAGTATTCCTGCAGCGCATCTGGGAATCCTGCTCGGGACTCCGGGAGGCCAGATTCAATTAGTTGTACAAGGGTATGCAGATTATTATCACTGGCTGTGGCAGTTCTGACCCTGTCCCAAGTCACTGATTTTAAATCAAGGGAGTCTAGTGAATTAATGGCTGATAAAACTACAGTGCTCTCAATGGAGGAATCGGAGGTAGAATACCGGGGTTCTCTCAATGGTGCAAGGTCAATGTTTGAGATACGAGTTAGGCTGCTGATACTAGCAATATCGTCTGTGAGCACAAGCCGTTCTGGGTCCCCAGTAGGTTCCGAGACAGGCTGTCTGTGGCCTTATGTTTAGCACCTGGGATGTAAACCATACTAAACTTGTACCTGAGGGTTTTTTTCCTTTAGGTTCCTGAGCCTAGCATTAGATATATTCTCTAATGATCGGTCGCCAAAGAGCTTAAGGAGTGGTTTGTGGTCGACAGCAATGATAAGGTTAGAGCAACCCAGGACAAAATACCTGGCCCTGTCCAGTGCGTCAGCTACCGCTAAGGCCTCTCCTTCTACTGGAGCATAGCGTGATTCTGCTGCATGAGTAAAGCGGCTACCTACTAATGTGACCCTCCAGCCATTGCTACAACAAAATGGCTCAGTTTTTAGACAACTGCAATGTTTCTGGAGGAGCCAAAAGCCAATGCCATCCTTGGACCAATCTGTGGTAAGACATGTGGGTCTAGTCGGGTCAAAAATCTTAACCCCTTCTTCGATTTCCCTCGTGATGACCTGTTTTGGATTCTTCAAACAAAGTGTCTAGTTCTTTGGTCCAGAGAAATGGGGTGTTAGGTTGGAGGAGGTGGCGAAATGGGGCCATCTTCCCTGTCATGCTAAAAGCATATGCAACCTGGTTGACAAGGCCGAAAAAAGATCTGACATCAGTGATATTCTTAGGTTTTCGGAAAATCAGATATGGCTTGTAGGTATCTCTGGCAAGGTCTGACAGAATTGGGACCAATTTCAAAACCTGCAAATTCGACTGTATCTTCTGCAAAGGTAAACTTCTCCGGGTTTCAGAGTTATGCCATTTTTTTTTCCGCATAGATCTAGCCAATGCACGGTTTGGTTAAAAACTGTCTTCTATTGTGTCTGACCATTTTAGAAGGACATCATCAATGCATTTAGTTTTGTTGGGGTATGTGAGCTACAAGTTCATCGTACCTTCTAGTGTAGCCATCGCCCGAGGCTATGTAGCCCTGAGGGCGGTTCGATACCTGTATCTACCCCAAGGTGTGATGAATGTTTTGGTAAAGTGACGATCCTCTTCCCGGATAGGTACACTATGGTAGCCATTCCAGTGCGTCCAGTACAGTTTTGATTTTACCATGTGGTACGGAACGCGCTTGATGGAAGGGGGAAGGGGTATGATGGGTCTCTCTCTTTGCATGTGCATTTAGGGGTTGTAGGTCAACAGTGCGGCGTGGCTCGCCATTCTTTTTGGCGCATACAACCATTCTGTGGCACCATGTTACCGGCTCACCAATAGGGACGGGTTCGATCACTCCTAGGCTTACATCTTGGTTCTAATCCAGCTTTAACGGCTTCACGCCAATGAATTGGTACTGGGATGGGGGTATGGTGGGCCACAGGCTCTGCTTGTGGGTCCGATCATCAGCTTCATTGGTGGCCATTAATCATGGGTAAAGGTTGGTGAGGGGCAGGTGTTAAAGGTGCTAGACCTATAGTGGTTGAGAAGGTATTCCTTTAGGAGGGGAAGATTATCTTTGTGGTGCTGAAATGGTATTTTGTCTGGGGGTGGTGGAGGTAATTGGCGTTTAGGGCATGAGCATGTTTGCTGCTGGATGGCAGCGGTCTGGGTGGGGGTAGGAGCCGTGAAAGGGAAAGAGGCGGGAAGGATCCCTAACTCAGTGCAGGCCTCACGACTAAGGAATAGTTTGTCGCATGAATCAGTGACATACGTCATTTGTCTACTCTCAGCAGCCCTTTCCCCCTCTGTAGCACAAATGCGGAGCACAGTGGCGCCTATGATTTTAATACCAGTATTGGTTGCGGTGTGCATTTGCATTGTAACTGGAATAAGGTCCGACTCCCGAAGTCCAAGGCGTTTTATCACATTTGTGCCAGCTAAGCAGCTCTGGCAGCCTGTGTCAGCCAAGCAGGAAGGATTGCTGAGAGAGGTCGGTTTGCATTTAGTTCGAAACGAGGGCAGTATAGTCTTCTCTCACTACACGCGCACTAACATTCATGGTAGGTTGAGGTTTTGATTTACGTTGATCCATGTGTCAGATAGTTTGTCATAGGCATGATGTTCTAGGCGTAGGGATCTTTCAATGCCCTCTTCACTTATCGAACAAGAGTCTGTGATAGTACACAACGCGTCAAATGTAGCAGCTGTCTCACTGAAAGTGTTTTGTTGTCTGGCATCTAGCTTAGCACCCCTGCAGACCTGAGGAAAGTGATTTTGTTTAAGACAGCGGTCGCCAAATCTTACCATACGCTGGGCATACATTCTTCCTTATCCTTGCAGGTGCATTTGTACCATGACCTTTTTGTTCCACAGTAGCCACAAGGATCTTTAGTTTCTTTTTTTCATTCTTGTTTTTTGATCATTTTTTTTTTTTTGTAGGAGCTGGAGGCTGCATCCACCGGCTGGCTCTCAAGTAAGGAGGAAGCTGACCTTTACCGGCTTCCTTGACCTCCACAAATTGGAATATCTCCTCAAGTGTCATTTTCTGGTTTTTATCACCAAGCAACTCCAACTGAATCTCAGGGTCTGCGATGCCCCTTGTCACAATATCGCGCATAACCTCATCGGAGAAGTCCACATTGGGCACTGCAGTTAGGGCATTTAAGTGATAAACAGCAAATGTTTGCTTGGCCCTTCACACGAGCTCCAAAATTGCGTATTGTCTCCTCACGATCTTGTTTCATTGCATGTAACTTATGTCTAGCGACCATAGCATTCTCTTCCCTGACTGCGAGTTTCCTAATAGCAGATAACACTTCATTTTCAGGTTTGCCAGTCAGGTTTCCACCAGTAGCCCTTGTGAGGTCTTTCCTAAGCGTTTCTTCACAACATTCTAGAAGCTGTAGTATTAAGTCACTGCCTTTAAACTTGAGTGGCTTTTTTGTAATCGTCCCATCGTTTTTCGAAGTACAACCAGTCCTCGTTTGTGCCAGCTGCTTTGATAGTTGGACGTTTCACCTTTTCCACTTTAGCTGATGCCGCCACTGCGGGCGTGTGTGTCATCGAGTGTGTGTGTTGAGTAAGGCAGCAACTATCACAGCGTCCAGCTCAGCGGTTTTGTAATCGCATCCAGGAAATGGGCATTCAACGACAGGCATCTTGACTGGACTGTGTTCATCAATAAGAACTTGTTCTATTTGTGTTTTTTATTATTCACAATGAACACAGTCTGAAAATAAACAATACAGAAAACCTTTAAATGTGACTAGATATACATCACAAGACTTGACAATACGACTTCCATGTCATAACCAAGGGAATGATTAAATTGACAATGAAATACATATAGCATGAACCGTGATAAAGTGCAATACATGAAGGAGTAAAATAATCTTATACATTTTGGGTTTGTAATTACCTATCAATTAAAGTTTATTGTGCCACTTCACTTGTGATGTTGTGTCTTGTAAAAATATGTTACAAATGGCGATTTTCCCACCAGGGGAAGTAACTCTACCATGTGAAGTCCTGACCTCATGTACCGTGCACTGTATATATTCGTATACTTTTACTACGCTAGATATCGAAAATGGACTTACCCATCTTTCATTTTTCTAGACAAAACCATTCATCATTTCGGGGAGAAAAAAAATCAAAATATGAACTGACTGAATAGTGATTGTGAATAGTGCTGACCTTGATCAGCAGGCGTGTCGGCTGATCTTTGTCTGCACTGGTCGCATGTGTAGCCTACAAACAAATTATATAGTCTTATTGCAAAATATTTTACATCGACGGAAAAAATCAGAGCCGTTCACCTTTAAAACATATTTGAACTTATAAAAAATCAACGTTAAATGTCGCGTACAAATTTTATTACGCTATACTCAATAAAAACCGGTGTTGTAAGAAAAATGACATATAAAAATCACGAACACGTTTCTTCCGTATGTTGGTATGACGGCTTCTTCACGTTCCCATGCTAATTAATACTTCTATCATTACTGCCGTATTGTTAATATACGTTTAGCAGACGTCGATCCATGCTAGTGTGTAAAAATTAGTATAAAAATCCGCTTTATTACCTATCGCAGTACATTTTTTATCTGATTTATGCGATCATATTGTCAAATATGTAATATAAACTACTAAAATACATTGTTAGCAGTGACTATGTGTAATTATAGGTAATATTAATCACATTTATTTATAGACAACGCTCCATAGTTATCAAATACTAGTTCGCTTGCATTATTACTTTTATTTTTGCGATAACCTTTAACCTGGTGAAGTTTTATAATGGAATTGTCCAGCTTTAATTTTGAAATACATGTAGTCCATTTTGAAAATTTAGCTTCTTAAATAAATAAAAAAATACATATATAAAAAATTGAGCTAAAGAAGAAAAAAATGTATTCATTTCAGTAGTTTAAGCAGCGTAAAAAATAAATATCTTATGAGATCAATTAACAACACGGAAATCTTATATTATAACAAAGAGAAAATTAAAACAAGACGCAGAAATTCCATTACACTTATATTCAAAACTGTATAGTTAAAGTGTTGATAAAGAACAGATTAACCATTAACCTGCTAAATGTCCTCAAAGGACTGACCCATCTTCCATTTTAAATGTTATAGATATGAATATGTAAATTTGAAGTTAGTCAGCCGAGAGTATAGAGGCCTGGTCAGACTTCACGTATGTGTAAAAGGACACGAAGCATTAATAAATGGATAAAATGTAATCGCGAAATACTTATGTTTTAACGTTCATTTAGAATGTTTATACTTTCGTAGCCTCTTCAACATTTATCTTTCGCAGTGCACTGCCAGTGACTCGTTCATGAACGGCTGGTTGGAAAGGTTAGAGTCTTTCACTTATGACATCACAGGTGACATTACAAGGTATCTTTGAATGAATTTAAAAAAACAAAAACAAAAACAGAAATGGTCTCGGCGGAATAGATTTAGTCATCACGGATATCTCTATGATTTTGTTGTTTTGTGTGTGTGTGGGGGTGGGGTGGGGTGGTGTCTTTCATGGGAAATCGACCTCAATAAAAGCAGGCCAATAAAATGGAAGCCGAAAAAATTACATAGCTTTGAAAAAAAATTCTTAGGTATATGTGCTATTTTGCAATGGCTTAAAATTACGACAATGATGATGATTTACCTAGTTTTAAGTGAATAGCCTTAGTAGTTTTCAAAAACTTAAAGGTAACCAACGCCGCCGACGAGAGAGTTATGGCAATATATGCTCAGCTGTTCATTCTTCGAACGATGGAACTAAAAGGTCCATAAAGTGGATCTACACAACATTTGGCGTATAACGTAATTTTTAAAGTAGCTTTAATAACTGAATAATAGTAGTTTAATAATTATAATGTCAAAAATTAAGTATACCCCACAATTTGGGCATATCATATCGCATGTCAAAGTGTATCGCTTAGAGCAAACGAACTTATTTACTGTTGCTGTAGTTTTTTTTTGTTTTTGTTTGTTTGTTGTTTTTTTTTTTGGCGGGGGGTGTTGTTTCAGAATGTTAGGAAATATTTGATGATTAAATTAATTGACGCGTTCATATTAATGTCAGCCATTAAACTACTGGTAACGCATATACATACCATGTATCACTTTTGTTCGCTAACGAAACGACCTAATTTTCTTCTTCTTAGAGTCACGCCGACCTCATAACCAATTATATATATTTATCCTAGGTTAAAGTAATCGAAGTTTTTACTGTATTGAAAATCATTGAATATGATACGCACGATTTTCTCGTGCGTCAGTAATATATAATAAAGTCGGTTAGACGTGTATATCATTCGAGGTTTTCTGCATTGCTACACACGTTTATTGTACTATATCGTACACTGAATCCCTCCCACCCTCCCGAAAAGTACACACAGTTACACCTACAAAGTAGAATTAATCTGCAAAGTAAAGATGATTTTCCTTGGTTCTACATATAATGGCCATTATTATTCTTGCTGGAAACGTTAACAAAAAACGACAAGAATATTCGCATATAGTCGCATAGTAATGGTATTTGAAAAATGGTATTATAAAGGTGCATTTTAGATTAATTTACGCAAGCCGTTACGTTTTGGTTACGATTTTAATTTAACTGAAATATTGTATATTTTACAGATTTTGCTCCAAGAATAAGATGTACTACTTTCTGGGATGTCCATTATATTGGAGAACGATTCTTTAGTGAAATGCGATACCTTGAACTTTTCTGATTTCAAATTTAATTGCTTCAATTTTTATATTTTTTGTATTAGAAGATAATTTTTTGTAAAATGTTTTGAACTTATTCATGGAAGGCGTGCAGTTATTGAGCGTACATATTCGGCTTTTAATTACATTTTATGTAGTAAGTGGATTATTTTTATGGGGTTTCTCATTAAATTATGTCAGAACACTTACGGAAGGTGGCTGGTCTTGAGTTTTGGTTTCCTACTACGTCCCCCTCCCACGATGGAGTAGGGTTGCGCAGCCGACTCGCAGCATACTGACAGGGAAAGTATGTTCATAACTGTGTGTTTTCCATGTTGATGTACGCAATTAAGAAATGAGTTTATTGTCAAAAAAGACATTTTACTTTATACCGATTTAACGATGAGATGTTATTTTCATGTGTATACGATTTTGGTGTTGTTTCTAAGAACATGTGTTAACACTCGATAAACGGCAATGCAGATAACAAATCCTAAATGTGAATTTATGTATTTGTTGTTCTTTCTTCCTTCGATTCCTTTATTATGGGATAAATAATTTATTTACGTTTGAGCGTAGCGAATTAGGAAATAAGTTAAGAAATGCACTTAATGTAAAATTGATCAAAGTAAAACAAATAGCGTATAACATCCTACACTGGTGTCTCCATGTTTGAAAACATGTGTATGCAAAGTGACGCCAATTCCGACAGAAATGACATTTACGACACTGTTTGTTGCCGTAAAGAGATACGAAGACAAAGCGCGAAACCGGATTTATCTAGAGGAGATAACGTAAAATGCAGTCACAGTTAAGATATAGGTATTAAAGAAAACGTTAAAGTCGATTTTAAATGTAGCTGTCAACGCCATCATCCGACGAGTTACAAAAAATAAAAGCAAAGCATTTCTATGGCGCTATATAGACACATACTTAGTCGTAAATAACATTGTTGACATTCAGTCGGTCTTTGTTCGGTTTGTGTCATCAAATATTTTCTTGCCTCATTATTTTTGTTATTTTATTTAACTCTGAATTCTTAGAAAGAAAGGCTGCTGTTTAAATGCATTACGATTATTATTATTCTGGGAAAATGGCGTGAGCGAATTATCTGAAATTTTGCGCACAAGTTATTAGTCTTGACCTACAAGAACATTAATATTGAAAATTTATTTCTAGTCCCATCATGTAAAAAACCTCAGTAAAACACTACAGATCACGACATCAAAATAGTTCTTAAATTGACAATATCTTATGTATACTCTCTATCTATTTATTTATACATTTTTTTTTCTAATAAACGTAAAAGGTGAGCTCTGACCAAGTGATAAAGATGACTGCCTGTAAACCCAGGGATCATAAGTTCGTATCACCAGTTCAGCGCAAACACAGAACTCGTGTATTTGATAGGTCAGAAACAGAACGCACCCTGACCAATGAAAATCCTGAGATTCGAGACAGACCTCAGATAAAGTTAGAGGCTAGGACTGGGTAGTTCAAGAAATCGGACCCAAGAGTGGTTCAAAAATAAAATTCAAGCTTTTGTTACAATCATGCTGTTATTACAATCAAGCTATAATAAATAAGGTTAAAATGAGAAACCCCCAATACAGTTAAAAGTGCACTTACATGTTCAAGTAACATTTGCTATAAATGAAATAACACTTATAATACATGTACATGCATATTAATGTACATGCTTCGATAGTCATGTCGGGGTGAATGACCAATGCAAGATCGATTGAAAACGCGTCCCTTGTCATGAAAAATGATAAATTATTTTCGCCCGCGTAGAGACAATATTTTGCACTTAGAAACAAAAAACTTTATGACAAGTTAACAAATACGTATAAGAGCGACAATAACATATAGGACATCAAAGTTACCACAGAATAATTAAAACAACGGTTACTATTCGTGTTTGTTTATTTATAAAATCTAGCTTTAGATGATTTTCCCAGGGCTTTCTTTGTTTCCTTGTTTTTTTGTTTTTGTTTTTTTTTTTTTGTTTTTTTTTTTGTTTTTCTTGAGAGGGAGTTTTTGGGTAGGGTGTAAGAACGATTAATGAATGGGTAAATGGGGACTATTGTTATTGATAACAAGGTCCATTATTATTTTTTGTTTGTTTGTTTGGTGAGGAGTGGTAGGAGAGATATGTCGCGTCTTTCAACTTTCTCAGGTTACCCCATCGTACATTATTTCAGGCACGAACCGGTATTTGAGAAGAACCACCGACGTTCCGTAAGCTAGCTGGATAGCTTCCTCGTCTGAATTTTTAATGGTAAAATAAGATTTGTTTGAATAATCAGTGCCTGAGCACTCATGCGATATTTTACGTCTATCTTCTCAATTTTGGACAATTCGCAAATTGGGACATACCGATTTCAGGTAAAAATTAAGAAACACAAGTTGTTATAATTTGGTACATAAATGAACTTGTAAGTATTGTCTATAGGTGACAATAAAGATCTTTCCAGTGAAATAAAGGAAAGATATTTATTTATTAGAAAATTTATGACTGTTTTCAATATTGATATACATTTATATACATATGACGTTTTTATTTACAACAAAGAAACAATAAAAAAACATCAAACGTTCGAGCAACCTTTGATTTCGTCTGCTAAATAATAAACGATCTCAATAAAAAATCTTTACGTTTCGATTGTTTCAAATTCATATGTTTAGATCAGGTTAACGCATCGTTACAAATGCTTTTACTATTTTCCAAATAGAAAACAGTGCTTTTTACATTTAACAAAGTATAATCAATTTAGAAATGATATAACAACAAAATTAATGATAAACAATGTACTAAAAAAATGAAAAGTTGTCGATTAAGCACAAATGAACCACGTTTTATTTAGCAATGAACAGCAGCAGTCACTTGTAACCGCGACTAGCCACCGCCCCCCCCCCCATCAGAGTATATTTTGGGAAAAGTCCTGCTTAAATCTTTGACTCTGTGAGAAAACCCCTTGTTTGGATCCACACCAAATCCCCACTATAAATCCCACTGAATTTCATGAACAGCAATGACCAAGCAGTATCGAGATGTTGAAATGTAAAACATATCCCTTCCCCCTCCCCCTCCCAACAAAAAAGCCCGGCATTTTCGGGTGGTATGGAATCTAATACTAATCAAAATTTATTTATTTATTTATTTATCAAAATAAATATTACAGTTTATATGTAAATGCACCAATGAAATGACGACTCATACCTTATTGACAAACAGACAGATAGGCAGAAACTCGAACAGACAGACACTTGAACAGACACAATAATTATCGGTGATAATCGCAAACTAATCTGAATAATATGGAGGCTCTTTATCGTTTCCATAGAAACCAAACTTAGATGTTAAAAGAAATTAAAATTCCTTGCGTAATGCAGTAATCATTTTGACGGATAGACACGTTAAAACAGTTAAAATGTCATAAAAATATGACTTCAAAACATGTTAATTGTCCTTATTTACGATCAAAAATTGACACATGTTAAATTTAAATCGTCTCTTAAATTCTATTTTTATCTAAACTCGTGTTAGCTAAAATTATGGTGATGTCTTCCAATTTAAATTAAACGTTACGAATGACTGAAGCTTTGTAGCTTTATTGATCATATCTTTTTTATACCCGAATAGTGTTACATAAAACAATTTCGGGCAGATTGACCTCATAATTTTTAGATACTAGTCGTAAAAACGAGAATTATCTCGACATTTCGAGATACTGTGTCGTCGTTCCGAGTTACTATGTCGTAATTACGAGATTTTAGTTGTAATTACGAAATACTAGTCGCAATAAGGAAAATGATCTCGACATTTCGAGATGCTGTGTCGTCGTTCTGAGTTAATATGTCGTAATATGTCGAGATACAGTCGTAATAACGAAAATAATCTCGACATTCCGATTATGACATAATTACGAGATATATAGGTATCTCGTAATTACGGCATAGAAATTTCGTAGCTACGAGATACTTTGTCTAAGTTATAAGATATTTATCTTAATCTAAACTATGCAATAACGCAGAAAGTATCTCGTAATGGTTAATTATGCGAAAAATACTATTTTTAATGATTTTCTTTTATTTATTCCATACTGTTTGGCTTTCGTAGAAATTCATGTATAAGGTATGAATATTTACAATGTACATGTAATGTTTGAAACAAAGAACAAGGTTGCAAGTAATCACAATGATCTTATTCGGTCTAAATATACTCAGTCTTATTGCAAAATTTCCTTTTCGGATGATGTTGATTTTTTTAAACTACACTAGTCATTTTCTCAAATAAATTAGTTAATATATTAGGTCGTCTTTTTACCTTTGAGTCTGTCATGCAATAATAAATGTCAATTAGGAAAGCGTTTCAAACGGGAAACTAAATATATCTCAATTCCTTTCGCCTTTAATTAAAATCTCATTAGCTTTAGGAAATTCGTATAAGTTCAATCTACTGTAGGTTACTATGGAGATGTCAATTTCACCGCAAGTCGAACTACCAAGAATCTCATTTCAGATTCACATGTGAATGAGGGGTGACGATGCTTGGGTTCTTACTTGAGGTCCGTAATGTAAATGCAATGTAAATGTAATGTAAATGTACTGCACTTAACTGGAAATGTGCCCATAGGAAACAGCATTCCACTGCTTTGTTAGTCTACGGGCGGACAGCACGACGGACAGACTAGGGCAAGTCTAAATGCCCCATGGCGGAGGGCAAGCGCGACGGACGGACAAGGGCAACTCTAAATGCCCCATGGCGGGGGCAAGCACGACTGACGGACAAGGGCAACTCTTAATGCCCCATAGCGGGGGCCAATCTCGATGGACAAACAAAGGGCAACTCTAAATGCCCCATGGCGGGAGCAAGCGCAACGGACGGACAAGGGCAACTTTAAATGCCCCATAGCGGAGGCAAGCACGACGGACAGACAAGGCAACTCTAAATGCCCCATGGTGGGAGCAAGCGCGACGGACGGACAAGGGCAACTTTAAATGCCCCATACGGGGGAAAGCGCGACAGACGGACAAGGGCAATTCTAAATGCCCCATAGCGGGGGAAAAGCGCGACAGACGGACAAGGGCAACTCTAAATGCCCAATATCGGGGGCAAACGCGGCGGACGGACAAGGGCAACTCTAAATGCCCAATATCGGGGGCAAACGCGGCGGACGGACAAGGGCAACTTTAAATGCCCCATAGAGGGGGAAAGCGCGCAGACGGACAAGGGCAACTCTAAATGCCCAATATCGGGGGCAAACGCGGCGGACAGACAAGGGCAACTCTAAATGCCCCATAGCGGAGGAAAGCGCGACAGACGGACAAGGCAACTCTTAATGCCCAATATCGGGGGTAAACGCGGCGGACAGACAAGGGCAACTCTAAATGCCCCATAGCGGGGGCAAGCGCGGCGGACGGACAGAGGCAACTCTAAAAGCCCATGGCGGGGGCAAGCGCGACGAACGGACAGGGGCATAGAAACCTCTAATGCAGATTAGATACCTATTTACTGTGCGAACAACCACATTTCTATTTTGACATAAAAAAAGAAATAATGATCTGAAAACTGTTTAACAGTATTACCCGAAATGAAAACAACTGAATATTTAAATTATTTTATTTGAAAAGAAAACTGCTTTGTAGTTTTTCCTTCAACATAACATAAAATGTACATTTACATTTTTATGAACAAATATACATTGTTCCTCACATAAAATGTAATTTAACAAAAAATATTGTGAGTAAAAACGCACACAAAATAATGCATTTAATAAATACAGAAAAATAACAGAAAAGAGCGAAAGATTACAGAAAAAGCAGTCGGTAATCGTTTCATTATACATGTATGTACATGTGCATGATAAAAAGATAATAAAAATAATACATGTATTTCAAATGGTAATGGAAGCATTAAAAAGAACATCACGTTATAATGTGTATTTAAATGAAAAAATAAATGCGAAAATTCTTGGTGTAAAATCAAACACTCAACAATTTAGCCGTCAAAGGTTGTTTAAAATGTATATGAATCCATCATACATTATAAACTAAATGAAGGTTTTGCGCTTGTCAGAAATGCATTCTATGTTAAGACGCGGTTTTTATGTGTGCGTGTCGCTAGACATTATTTCGTGACAAAATATCGCCAGAATTTTGGCATGTTAGCAATAACACTTTAAAATGCGAAATGATACGCCCATTCATTTAAAATGTAGTTCAAAAATGTAATTTTGTACATATGAATCTAAAAAGTTTTAAATTGGTATAGTTTTTTCGTTTTGTTATGAAAATATTTGTGTATATATTTCTTTTATATAATGAACTATATAATGAAACTAAAAATTGATCCCGGCTATAAGTTATTTCGATTCTAAATTGCTGGTTTATTGTAATGTTATTATAAATTTGCTTGATTGAAAATAAACGGTAACTTTTTTCAGGTGAAAGCATTTATCATTCATATATATATATATATATATATCTAAAAGATTGCCATAAAATGGCATAAATAATAATATATGTGCACAAATTAAAACAATTTGCCTGTATTTTATGAAGCAGACGACCGCGAGAAAGCTTCAAGCTTATAGCATCAATCACATACATACTGAACACAAAATGGCGCGCTTTCAAAAATAAATGCGCAACAGTTAAATACCAAAAATACATTTGTACACAGTATATCATAACAGTAACAAACACATTGCAATAAAAGGACAGCCCGCCGTCCTATCCCGCAAACTCTTTGTTCTTGGTACGGGATTGCAAAAACAATACTGATGTATGTTATGGTACAAACACGACTGTACTTTCATACACATCATCATTTTTTTTTTCAAACACACTTGCCATCGAATGCTAATATACGGTAAATCACAGCTCAGCATCTAGCACTTCCATTTCGCGAATTGTTTAACGTCTTTAATTGATTTTGGTGCTTTCATCCATTCTAACATATCAGACACTGACGTTATATACACATCACCGAGACTTAAAATTTTATCTAAAAACTTTAATAATCCCGAAAAGTTTTCTCTATAATACCAGTGAAACCACATCTGTTTCAGTCTTATAGCGAACGGGGCTTTATTTGTTTTATAATACTTATTAAAATTATCCATTAGATAGTCAACTGTTTGCTGCGCGTTACTCGGTTGGGTTGTGCATGCGTCAATATACTCACATGCGGTCATATTTTTAGGTCCATTAAACGGAATTATCGGAACTTCCCAGACACCACTATGATGATCATTCGGACACGTTCCAGTCTGGCACGTACCCATCCATCCAAAATCTAACGTGTGGGGATAAGGTATCTTTTTATCAATAGTATCCTGTAGTAACAGCAGCGAAGAGTCATACAAACTTTGATTGGCTATTATTTTGTATTGTTCATCTCCGACAGGACTTAAACCCGGACTTCTCCATCCCTTGATATCGCCTGGAGAAATGTTCGCACTTGCTGCTATTCGTTTCCTCTGTCTAACGATGTCCTGCTTCAATTTTGCAGGGTCTGAATACGGCCGAGAGCTTACGCCCATCATCGCCAACTCTATATTGTCTGTTTTCAGTACGTTGGCAATTCGATAACTACTGCCGATATCTGATATAAAGACAGTTCCTTTTATCCGACAACCATTAGGATTCAGTCTTGTCTTCGAAAACAGCGATCTTAATTTTCCGTAAGTGTGAAAGTTCAAGCTTCCGTCTACAGTGATGTATACTATCTGAGGAGTTTCTATTAATTTTAAGCTTCCCGGAGGACTGGAAGACTTGCACACACAATTCGGACGCATACAATTTATTTCTTGTATGCATTCCGATGAAGAAGATACTCGTCCAGACTCCTGCACCGATGAAACGTTTTCTGACGACATGTATTGTGATTTTGTAACTTTATTTGTAAACTTCTCGACGTGAGAAGCTATTGATTTAATACTTTCCAGTTTTGCGTTGTCAAGTGTATTAGCACGTGGTCCTTCCGTTAGCTTCGGCTGTGGCGTTAAAGAAGGTATAGGCATGACAATTGGTGACAAAAAACGGTTCGAATGAGCATTTATACCTGTGAATATATTCCTTTGGTTTGCACCGTTTATATCATAATGTTTAGGAACATTAACAAATGCCGTTGGTTGGAGCTTAATTCCAGTGGCATCATTATCAGTAGCAACAGAGTTGAAAGGCAAGACATTGAACACTGGAGTTTGTTTCTCTAGGTCTTTTACCGTAAAGAACTGGATTTTGTGGGCCGGTCGTCGTGTTACAGATGGCTTTGGTGTCGTTGTTTCAGGCTCCATCATTACAGGTGTTTTGGTTATCCAACGCTGCCATGGAACTTGAACATTCTGAGAAATCGTCCACATGGGTCTTATATTTATTGCGGCTCTTTGTTTTGACACAGTTGGTTTTATTTTTGTCTGCGTGGTTGTTTCTGTAGCTGTTGGTGTTGTCGTATATTCCGTAGTTGTAAATTGTGATGTCGTCTCTTGTGGTGTTGTTGTTTCTGCAGCAGCAGCAGCAGCAGTAGTTGTTGTTTGCTCAACAATGCTAGTTGTTGTTGCTTTAACAGTTATTGGAGGAGTTGTCGTCGTTTCAATCGTCGTTGAAGGTATACTTGTGGAAGATTCCGTTGTTGATTGCTCTGCTTCTGTTATTAATTCGGTTATCGCAACTAACAATGTAGTAGATGCTGTCGTTTCTGGTAATGTCGTGGGTTCCGTCGAAAACGATGGAATTCTGCTTGTCGTGTCAGCCTGCGTTTCAGTTGCCTGTGGTGTTGAAGTGGTAAAAATATCCATATAAATTGGATACGCTTCTGTTGTAGGTGTTTCATAAACGACTGATTGATCTGTAGTGAACTGTGTGTATGATGAGGTTGTATTTTCGGATAGATGGGGTTCAACAACGTGTGTCTCTAAACCCTTTCTAGTTTCATTAACTACAATCTGTTGTAAAGGAAAGTCTAATTTTGTTCTTTGTATTTCAGCTGGCTTATGAAATTCTTGTAACATTGGTTTATTTTGAGGCTGTACTTCATTTTGCACCGGCTCAGAACTCGACACTAATTCTGAAGTTTGTCCACTTACTGAATGTGAAGAGATATTTTGACTATGGACTTGTGGATCCCCTGACTTTTTGTTGTTTATCAAGCGATTTCTTAGTTCTTCCTGCAATGCTCGAAGTTCAACCATACTTAAAAGTTCCAATTGATGTGTTCTTTCACTTGGGCGGAATTGAAGAATTTCGTCCAATTTGCGGGAAATAAATACTTGAAATGATTCCTCCAGGACTTTGTTATGATCGATGGTGGAAGTTGGAGCAGTTGATTGTGTTGGCTGTGGTGGTTGTGTAACTATCACTTCTTGTTGGAGAGTATCTATTTGCGTAGCTTTGACAATGTGACTGGTTTGAGAGTTTTTGTTTTGAATAAGCGGTTGCTCCACTACCATGGCCCCAGACGGATTGTTATTCACATCTAACGATTGGATAAATTCGCTTTGTAGTAAATTTTCATTAGTTATATCAGGCGCTGGCATAAATTCATTTTGAAGTAAGTTGTTGTTGGAAGTACCAGATGCTTGAATAAATTCGTTCTGAAGAGGATTGATATTACCTGCATCAGCTACAGTTGTATCAACAACTGGTGGAAATTCATTTTGCAGACTATGTACATTTGCAACATCAGGTGTTTGAAGGAATTCGTTTTGGTGAATACTTGTATCTATAACATTTGGCAAAGGAAGAAACTCGTCTTGAAGTGACTGTCCAGAAACAGCCGGTTGCATAAATTCGCTTTGGAGTAAATTTGGCTCGCTTTTCAAGAAATCACCGCTAGGAATAACATGCTTTTGGCCGAGTTCATTTTGGTGTATCTGATCAACACTGGCAACATTTTGATGCATTAGAGATGTTTGTCTATGTAATTTTTCTTCTAATTGTTTTTGTTTTTCTATTTCGTTCTGACGTTTTAGAATATCTGCTTGTCTTGCAAGCTCCTGTTTTCGCATCTCCTCTTGCCTTTGTTTTTCAAGTAATTGTGCTTGCTCTAGTTGCTGAAGTTCTAACTGCCGTTTCTTTTCAATAAGTTTCGCTTGTTCTTTTTGTCTAAGGTTATCAAGACGTTGTTGTTCGAGAAGTCTTGCCTGTTCTTCTTGTATCAATTTTTCTTGGCGTTGCTGCTCCAGCAACCTTGCTTGTTCTTGTTGTTTAAGTTGTTCCTGGCGTTGCAGTTCTTCTTGTCTGAGCTTTTGAAGCCGTTGCTGTTCAAGCTGTCTAGCTCTTTCGTCTCGGAGAAGCTTCTCTTGTCTCTGCTGTTCAAGAAGACGTAATTGTTCCTCTTGTCTCAACTTTTCTTGGCGTTTAATTTCAAGAAGTTTGGCCTGCTCGCGTTGTCTTACTTCTTCTAGACGTTTTTGTTCAATCAGTCTAGCTTGTTTCTCTTCTGCTTGAAGTCTACGTAATCGCTCCTGTTCCATTCTTTGCCTTCTTAACATAGTTTGTTGTTGTTGCTCTTGCTGTTGTTGACTATTTACACCAACCATACCAGGTGGGCGCCACCAGAAGCGTACCATTGGAAGGTTTGGAACCATTGGTGGTACCGGAGTTGGCATTGCGCTTGGTAAAAATTGTTGCCTTCTCGGCTGTCTCGTTTGCCAAGATCGCATTGGATCGAATGATGGTGAATTGGAAATGAAATTACCATTATGGGTACTTTTAGGTCGGAACGTTACCCTGCGCGAATCTTTGTCAGTAAATCTGTTACTGGATGGTTTCTTTACCGCTTCGGTCGTTTTATTCCCACTACAGAGCCAAGGTTGAAACGTTTTTATTTGTTGTAAAGATGTCGGTTCTTTAAGCCATTCGATGACTTGCTGAATTGAGATGATGTAAACGTCATCAAGTTTAACAAGTTGTTTAATGAATCTGTCCATAGCGGCTTTTCGGTCCGGGTAGTAAAACCAAGACGCATGCATATTAATGCCCATAGGCGCTCTATTTGTAGTATAATATTTCTGAAAATTGTCCCAAAGAAATTGATACGCCAACTTTTCCGTGGGCGGTGGATTATTACATCCGTCGACATATACACAGTCATATTTATTAAGATAATCCTTCACAGATACAACAGGCACTTCCCAAAATCCTTTGTGAGGTTTTGTTGGACATGGTTTTATTTTGCAGTCGTATGGCCATCCGAAGTCAAGTGTGAATGGTGTAATAGCTTTATCGTTTAAACTCTTCTTTGCCATCGTAAGAGTTGCATCGTATTCATAGCCAAGGTCCTTTAAAACGGATGGCTGTAAATCGCCTACAGGCTTCAAAAAGGGACTTCTCCATCCTGTTATTTTACCGGAAGGAATTCCCGCGCGTTTCGAAAGATTTTCTTTCTGTTTCCTCGCCTCACGGATGAATGTATTTGTATTCATTTGACTATGCGTTACACTATGGGAGGCAATTTCCATTCCTTTTTCATAAAACTCTTTCACAAGACCATACACGGTGTTGCGGTGGGAAACAAATAATGTCATTGAAATAGGGCATCCATTTGGATTAAGTCTTTGTGGATTAAAAAGTTCTCTGTAGTAGTTTGCAACCTGAGGATTAACAGCGTCGTCAAAAGAGAAAAACACCATTTGCGGAATTTCTCGACTTTTCAGTGGCATTTTGTCGCGGCAACAGAAACAGTCTGGGGGATTGCATATGTGTGATTCTCGGCACTGCACGCACGTGGCCGGATCATATGCTAGAATGTTCCCGAAGAAAATAAATAATCCCAATGCTGATAAACTGATTAAATTAAACTCCATATCTACTGTATATTTCAGTTACTTTCAATTTATTCCAACGAAATGAATGTAAATAAATTATTTCCTTATCAAATATGATATTTTCCGTTTATTTCATTTGTTTTCGATCGTTTATCACTATTTTCTGACACTGTTTAATTGTTCAGATAATGTCATTTTCCATTTTTCTTTCGTTCACGTCATACTGTCTGTGAAATTTACAACCGAGCTTTTTAGTTTTGCAACGTTGATGTAAAATAGGTGGATCTTCTGTCTAAATTTAACGTAAACTCGAAATGTCAAATTATTTCTTTAACAAAAAAATCTTCATTTCAAAACGTGCATTAATTACAAAACGGAGGTCCACACTCCACGAAGGCTGTCAGACACTGAGAAAGTAGAAAATTGTTCTGATGTAGTTACCGAGAGACGACAACGTTATTTGACAGCTGTCGTTTATATTTTATACGTTCTCCTTTAGGCAAATCATCGCGCCGATTAAAAAAACGCGTGAGTATTGTCTCCATTTTGTCAGTTATATTTCCTTATTGGTTAACGATTACTTGTAATAATCTAATTAACGCGCCGAATTACGTGATGGTCCTAACGACACGTCGTAAAAAAGTATTACACACTTTACGGCTTTTACGCAATGACTTTGTTGTCCGAAAATCATTCATGGACGTTATAACAAGTTCAGTGCAATTTTCTTACCAGTACAATTCGTCGATTTTCTTTATTCAAACGTAACGTATCATATAATGATATGATGTCAATCAAAAACGTGCATACAGTTGAACAGTGGCCGTTTTCATGACACGCCGAATGTATTGCAAGATACCGAGTATTGCTTAGAATTATATATTAAATTTACTGGCTATATAAAAATATTGAAATGTGTTATATATGATAACATTTGTTAATTTATATTTTAAAAATTCAAATAGTATTATACTAGTACAAATACACTTTCAAGATAGAAATTTCGTTGTTTTTATTTGACAACTCGGATTGATTGATTGATTGATTGATTGATTGATTGATTGATTGGTTGATTGATTGATTGAATACAAGAAACATATTTATTTTGCTTTCTAAAAATCCTTGACAACTTTGAAGAAATATAAAAGAAAATGGCTGGGAAGATGACATTCTGAAGCCCGCCAGTTTTACACTGTAACATTCAATCCATTCAATCCTATTTTTATTTTAACTTTATGCCCCGTAGGCGCTTCTTTTTGAGGTATTTTGTCATTCATTTTGTAATCACGTGGTATCAAATTCTCCATTCTGATTGGCTTAGGATAGGTGGTGTCCGGGTAGAAATTATGTTTAAATCTTCTTGTGAAAGAACCTACCTCAGCGGAACAGAGGGGATGAATTAAAGGATAATTTACAGTGCTGACAATAGGAAATGTTGAAAAGTTTCCTTGAAATACCGCCATACACATAGGAACATACGTTTACATATGCTTACTTGGTTTGTTTGTTTGTTTGTTTTATTTTATTTTCTATTTTATGTATTTATTGTTTTTAATTTTGGTGGATGGCTAGGGGCCTCATGCATTTGAATCACAAAAAAACTTTAAATGAAAGAGTTGCGTCAATATGTTTACAATTCATGCAATTATTCAAGATGAGAATTTTTTATGCGTTTTTAATGTTTTAAGATGAAATTGATGACATGTGCATGCTTGGCTTGGCTCACCCTCATACATTAACAAGTGATTATATCTATACGTCTGCTTCAGCGGCAAAACTATTAATTTCAATGTGAATTTTATGTTTTGGTATAAATGCATATATTTCTGGAACCGTTTAGTTTATACAAACTTGTTTGTTTGTTTGCTTTTGTTTTGTTTTTTCTTTCTTTGGTTTTTTTATTTCATCAAACTTACATTTATATTATTAGTTGTAAGTATATGCATAGCTTCTGTCAAGTTATGAAGACTTTCTTTCTCCTTCTGCAAAAAAAGAAGTTTGCTGCATTATAAGTTCGTTAAAGATTTTTGATGGGTGTATATGTGTAAAAAGATTACTTTCATGAACATGTGACACTGGCTTTTTCATGTTTAATGAAATAGTGTATTGTATAGCATTTACAGATCCTCTCGGACTTCTATGTTTTGGAATTTCCAAAATATGGCCTTATTGATCAGTCCTATTGGAGTTCCTTTGTTGTAAATTTCACTGTATTATTTGGCAAGTCCTATGGGAGTTCGTTTGTTGTAAAGTTGCACTGTATCGTATTGAGCGGACACTCTAATTAGGCGCACATTCAAGTGAATGAGGATTTGACATAAAAATCGACTACAAAACGGCTTTATGTTGATTTATGGAAATGAGATTAATAAGCCCCAATAGAACACAATAAACTATTATGTAATTATGATGAACATAAGCCATAAAACCCATCTATTCCAGTCACAACAACCCTTATATTCTTTAAAAGGCAAACCGCACACGACTCACAAGTTAATTTATGAATTTAAATGGTCAAAAAAAATAATGTCCGTTGTTTTATTGCACATGCATTTAGGCTCGGCTGCATTCTTCACGTCTGTTTTTGATCATGAACATCCGAAATTGTTTTATACAATACCGTGACGTCATATAAATGATTTTGATTGGTTCAATGCAGTTCGAAATATTTATTTTAAAAGCGTTATGTTTTATTTATGGTTTTATCCCCGGAAATATCATGAATATAGATATGTGTAAATCACGTTGCCCCTTATCTAATTGTCCTTCAACAGGAAAAGAAAGAAATTCCACCCCCGGACCGTGTCATTGTGAGATCACGGATTTATATTACAATATAAATCCGTGGTGAGATGTACATGTTTGTTCGGATTTGTAAAAAGCACCATTTTCACGGGACATCGTAAAAAAATTGGAAGGGGGAGCGAGGGATTGAACTCAGAGCCTTTCTACGAATTAAACCCATTACTATAGTACAATCTTTGCCTTGTTGAATGGAAATAAACAAAAGAATTTGAAAATTGTAACTGAGCTAAACGTTATAGATCTATTTTTCTTTGCATGTAAAACTCATGTTCAAAACTTTTATAGCTTATTTGCTTCATAATTCCGTGAATTGAATACGACAATAGTCTAGCAATTAGTGTAAGGATGTCGTCTTTGGTTGTTTTTTTTTTATGTTGTTTAATTTTGCATGAGTCCGTTGTTTAAATATTTGAAGTGGGAGATGTCTTGAAAGTTTCCTTGAAATAACTTTGTCATTTATGAATAAAAAAATGAAATAATCGAAATATCCTGAATTTTAATGTCCTGGTCAAAATGGCAGTGAAATATTTGCTGCACATGTTAAGTGACGTCACATCCTTTTACTTTTATCACATCTTCACAGTGACTCCCCCGAGTCATTAATCCTCAGACAAATATATAAAATACTGACAGACACCAGTCCTGTTGAAGAATAATGACTCTTTCATAATCCTATAAAATGCTATTATTTTCTCCCTCTTGTATCCAAAATAATTTCTAAAGTTAAAAAAGAATGTAAAACGAGCCTCAAGTCTTTCAGAATTCAGCATAACTGTCAACCAGAATGAGAAAAAAAGACGTATGTTTATATCCGGTAAATGCCGTAAAAGATGGAAAATAGCCCATAAACCTACCGGAAGTCAAGGTGAAAACAAACAGCCTACGGCCGAACAAATCGTTTTTTAGATTATCTTACAACAGGAAAAAAAACACTTACAGAAAAGTGATGGTTAAATTAGATTCGAAACCGGGACCTTCATTTTTATAAACCTATGACTTACGAGCTCACCAACCCGAGCAATATGGCCTTTTTGGAACCTATTAAATGATATAAATTCTGCTTGTCTAAGTTATTAAAACATTAGTGAAAGACTTTCTAAGCAATAAAACATTTATAAGCGATTAAAAGAGAAAACGAATTGTTCAAATATTTTTCCTTGTGAAATGCCACCATTTGCCACAAACTCCTCGCAGCGGTTACTTCCCCTGATCTGTACAGTAAGAATATAGCCGGATATATTTTTTTCACTTTAAATTTTAAAATAGAATACTTTATATCATTTTAGTTTTCTTTCGTTAAATAGTTATGCTTAATGTACAAGAAAGTAAAAAAATATACGTAGATATAAAAATTATTTTGTAAACATAACGAAAGATATTTTCACTGTGACACCGTATGCATAGTAAACAATGGCAGAATATAAACAGTTATTGAACGATTGCACAAAAAGATTTGATCCGGCACTTGTTTTAAAGTGATAACAAATTGTGTGTCTTGAACTTATTTTGTCTGGTAAGGATGTAATTATAAATCTGCCCGTTTGATATGGGATCCCTCACAGACACTTGGGGTTTGGAGCTCAAAACGCCTTTAAAATCCAAATAAAATGCATATTTGTCAATCCCAGCACATGTAGTGATCATATATATCAAAAAAACTTAATATAAGCCGTTTTGAAAAAATTTCATATTTCAACATCTATAATAATACACAAGATAAAAATGTTCGCCCGAAAAAATCCGCACACCTACCTTCGTTTACACCTTGTATTTTATTCAATTTCCAATATTTTCACATAATCCTTGTGGTCGTTGACGCATTACACATTATACTTCACGATCATTGTCAGTTTTAAGCTTCATCTTAAATATAAACAACAAAATATGCGAAAAAACATCAA